GGAGCGGTGCAGGTGGGGTGGGTGGGAGGTGGTCCTGGGTGCGTCTGGAGACGGGGGGTTGTCCCCCTGGGCCAACCCCTTGGCTGCGCTCCCCAGGATGGCGAGGGCCTGGGAGATGGAGTCCAGAGAGGGAACCTTCAGCTCCTCCTCCAGGGAGTCCAGACATATGGGCTCCGACGGAGACACGGACGGTCGCTTAGCAACCGGAGTGGCAGGGGAGGGCGTGGCTCCAGCTGGAGGCGTGTGTCGAACCCAAACACCCTCCTGGAAACAAGAGGCAAAAACAGCAACGACACCTGGTTCAGGTTCAAGTTCAGGTTCAGGTTTTACTACAAAGACGACAGCCAATAGGATCACTTCACGTTCTTCTCAAATGACAATTTCCACCACTAGGAGGAGTACTTTTGAGCAGCGTCACTAAGTCTCAAACTAACTAACTGGCTGTGTACTTTGTAGTACTGTGTACTTTGTAGTACTGTGTTGTTTGTAGTAGTATTTCCAGTGTAAAATAAAAAGTCCAACCTTTGGCTTGGCCTTGGGAGCAGGAATTATTTTCTTCTTTGCCCTGAAACGACAACACGAGTTACGAACAAGTTAAAGAGTTGGTTCTGAAGGCTGAGACAGACTGTTCAAAGACGTGGGAACCAGAACCAGAACCAGAACCAAGGTCGTTCGATCAACGGCAGAACTGAGGAGTCTGAACAGAACATCCATCCTAACCCTAACCCTAAACCCCGCCCCCTAGACCTTCAGTTGTCAGACACCACACCAGGGTCAGGAGGTCAGGAAGTCAGGAGGTCAGGAGGTCAGGAGGTCTCTGTCTGGTCAAAGAGAACCATGGACCCGGTTCCTGTCGGTTCCACGCCTCAGGAAATGTTTAGTCAGGAGTAGCGTCTGGACTTACGTGTAGCCTGTGAGGTGACCGTGAACCAGCACGCTCTCTTTGAACAGCATTCTGTTGACACACACACACACACACACACACACACACATCACATCATGTTGTTGGGACAAAGTCTGAGTGGAACACGTAGACGGACGGACGCTCACAGACCTGGCCTGCATCCAGCCTTTGGGCCACAGAGGTTTGACCTCCGTCTCCATGAAGGTCTTGAGGTAGTCCTCCAGAGAGAGCGTGTTCTTGGCCTCCAGCTCGTAGCAGCTCAGTTTGACTCTCACCAGAGTACACAGCAGTGACCTGGAACACACACACACACACACACACACACAGTCCTCCACGTACTGACTGCATCAGAGACCACGCCACCGCCCCCCTCCGTGTGTGTGTGTGTGTGTGTGTGTGTGTGTGTGTTGTACCTGAGTTTGTCGTCCCAGACGAACTTCTTTCGAGGACCCATCACTCTCTTCCCTGGTTTCTCCTCGTCGTCGTCCTCCGACCCGTTCTTCTCTCCCTCCTCAGACTGCTGCCTAAAAACATCAGCACACGTCAAGTCCACGTGACTGGGACCGGGTCGGACCACAGCAGGTTCTCTGCACCGTCTACAGCCGTACTTCGCCACTTTAGCGATGCAGTCCATGTTGTAACGAGCGATCTGCTCCGGCATCACGCTGCACACGGCCAGCTTCAGCTTCAGCAGAGGAGCACGGAGACGGTCGTCCTGGAAACGGGAACACGAGGCGAGTCAGGAACCACACACACACACACACACACACAGATGCAGGCAGCAGAGAAGACGAGGACTCAGACAAGACTGACCTGGATGTTGAGGCTCAGCTTCTTAAGGCGTTTGAGCAGAGCTTCTTTATTGCAGGGTACGAAGGCCTCCAGGTGAGAGTAGACGGCAGACCTGACCTCTGCTGGCTGCTCCTGGACCTGCAGCTCAATACTGACACACACACACACACACACACACACACAGGTTTTAAAAGAGTCATTTGTGGATGCACAGATTAAAGATTAAGGTGTAGCTGAAAGGAACTGACTCCAGGAGGATGTTGTTCATGTCCAACGTGAAGAACTTCTTCCTGCCTTCTTCATCAAAGAGACGAGACGCCTGTGAAAACAGTCAAACATTAGCCAGTCAAACATTAGCAAAGTAGCACTAGAGTAGTTAGCTGTGAGTTAGCCAAGAGCAGTTAGCTGTGAGTTAGCCAAGAGTAGTTAGCTGTGAGTTAGCCAAGACCAGTTAGCTGTGAGTTAGCAAAGAGCAGTTAGCTGTGAGTTAGCCAAGACCAGTTAGCTGTGAGTTAGCCAAGAGCAGTTAGCTGTGAGTTAGCCAAGAGCAGTTAGCTGTGAGTTAGCCAAGAGCAGTTAGCTGTGAGTTAGCCAAGAGCAGTTAGCTGTGAGTTAGCCAAGAGCAGTTAGCTGTGAGTTAGCCAAGAGCAGTTAGCTGTGAGTTAGCCAAGAGCAGTTAGCTGTGAGTTAGCCAAGACTTCCAGACAGTAATGAAGCCCCAACATCTACAGATCTGACCAGGAGAACCTGATCCTCCAGGTTCCTCATTGTTGACCTTTAACCTTTACCCAGATATCCAAACATCAGCTGGAATTTACATACCGCCCTCAGGTCTTCGATTCGCTTTAACAGCGGTCCAGGAAGTCCGCTGGGCAGAGGAGGCGGAGTCATCACGCCGCCCTGAGACCCTCTGCTCCCCCCGGCTTTGTTTCCCATCCCGTAGGAACCGTTCTCTCCCTGGGCCGGACTGGAGGGCTGGGGGGAGTCCAGCATCCCAAAGTCCAGGTCACCCATCATGTCATGCAGTATGTCGTTATTGGCCGAGCCCAGCAGTGACATCACAGCCGGGTCGGTGCTCAGGTCGACCATGGCGCAGTCGTTGCTGCTGGCGGCCTTTGGATGGTTGTTGAGGAGTGAAGGTTTGGCGTTGGGCACTTTGGCAGCGGGACGCTGCAGAGCGCCCGCGGCCATGTTCCTCTTCCGCATCTCGTCCTTCTCCCTGTTGAAGCGCCGCAGCATGTTGGCCAGGTGGAGGGAGTCCTTCATCAGCTTCTTCCTCTTCTTCTTCTCTGGACGATGAGCATTGAAGGATGAAACTCTGCCAAAAACATACAAGTCAACGTTAACCAACCGGTGTGTGTGTGTGTGTGTTCACACGGAGGGAACAGGAAGTGTACGCACAATAAAGACCAGAAGACCAGAAGGTTGTAGGTTTGTTGCTCAACAGTCCAGAACTCACCCAGGTTTTGGAACTTTATTCTTCTTGGGTTTCTTCTCCTCCAATATTCCATCTGGTTTTTTCCGTCGTTTTTTGATCGCCCTCTCCTCGCCGTCTTTGATCTTCTGCAGAACATTTGTACAAAGTTCATTTTAGAAGCAACGTGAACAACAACAGATCTAGACCAGCAGGTGTCATCCTGCCTGAGTTTAAGGTCTTCAATGACCGACCTTGAAGTGGTTTTGCTCGGTGCCTGCGTTCTCCTCCTCGGAGTCTGACGCCGGTCTGAACTGCAGCGTTCCTGTGTTGATGTAGAAGCCTCCGTGCTTCGTGGTGAGTGAGGCCGGCACCAGTTCATCGGGGGGGGGGGGGGGGGGACACAGAGTTAGTCTTCATCTCTGATACAGACCTCAGTCTACATCATCTTAAATAAATAAATAAATAAAAATAAGTACATTTGTACTATATTGATCCCACATTTGGGAAGTTGTTGTGTTAGCAGCAGATATGACATTAACAGACTGCCCCCTACAGGCACCGAGCATGTGGTTCCTCTGGGAATTGAACCCAGGACTCTCTGCTTCAGAGGCAGACGTGCTAATCAATGATTTGATTAATTTAATGTAATTCCCAGAATGCAGTGCTCTCCATGTAAATCTAGATGTGTTTGTTTTCTGTTGCTTCAGGTTCAGATGAACCTGTTCTTCGTCACTGAGAAGAAACGACTCACGGCCTCTGAATTGTCAATGAATGGGTCCGTTTCATCGTATCCATATCCGATATCAATCAGATCCTGCATCCTGTCTCTTTTTTTCTTCTTGGAGGCCCCGCCCTAAAAACAAGAGCAAACACAACCACCGAGTTACTGCCGGACGTCCTCAGCGCACACACACTGTTTCATTCTGTCGGTCCTGTTGACAGATGTGTAGGTCAAAGGTCATCACTGTGCTGTGTTGAAGCGTTCAGGTGTTCTGTAGAAAACACCTACATATTTGCTCTCAAACTTCTTGGCCAACTCTTCCACCTCTCTTCGTTCCTTCTCATCATCGGCGAAGGGGTCGTTAGGATCCAGAGGAGGAGCCAGGCCTTTAGGGACCAGCGCCGCCGCGGGTTTGACCTGCAGTACACAGAGAAGGGGGGGCTGGTGAATTAAATGCAAATATAGGTTAAAAAAAAACACAACTAAAATCAACCACAACATTAGAAAACTGGAGGGAATCTTTAAATATCACATCCAAACACTGATCATCAAACAGGAATTCTTGTCTGAGTTGGTGTGGATTCCATTATGTAGCAGCATCGAGTTGTTGCACTTCCGGTCTAAATGACGTTTACCAGGAAAAATAAGTGAACGAAACAGCGTGGTTATAAAGTTATAAGAAGAGCACGGCGTGAACCGTCAGAGGTCGTCAGTAAACACGTCAGTACTGCTGCCCTCATCATGGTGCCCACTCACACTCGTACTCTCTCTCCCCCTCTCTCTCTCCCTCTCTCCCTCTCTCTCTCTCTCCTAACCTGAGGCACTGTGGACTGGACCAACTCTCCGTAGTTGAACTCCGCGGAGCCCCGCTCGCTTGGCTCCGTCAGCGGCAGATGGAGGCGGACAGTGGGTTTGCTCTCCCCGCTCTCGGCTGCTCCACCTTTGGCGTTGCCGAACATCCCCGCACCACCTCCTGACCCCGGCGCCGCCGCACTTCCACCTCCATCTTTTCCAAAAGTGATGTTGACGGCCTCGTCTTCGCGGCGGCGCTTCTTGCTGGACTCCGGGGTCGGCGGCGAAGTGTTGAAGGACGACAGGGTGACGAACGGCACTTTCCTGGGCTCTGCCATTTGACGCTCTCCGTGGGCGGCCACGCTAAACTGGCAGCGCCGCACTCCGGTGCCGCTGACTGGAGAGCAGAACCTGGTGACGGTCGACAAGTACAACTAGCTAGTTTCTCTGTTAGCTTCAGGCGTCCCTAGAACGAGTCCTGTAGACGACACTATCACTTTTCTCCTCTCCCCGCCCGCTTCAATCCATACAGCGCGGTTCCCGGCAGCCCCCCCGTCACCAACGAAGGACTTCAAGAGTTGGGAAGAGCAGTTTTAGGAGCTTCCATGAATTGGTAGTTAGCTACCGCAAGGAGTATTCTGTAGTAGCCATCTTGATCATTATTATCATTATTCAGTGGCTGGGCG